GAGTGTGGTGTTTTGAATGAAGAGATGTCTCGTTCTGACCGATATATGTCCCATTGTCATGAAATCAAAATACAAAACAAAAATAATTCATTTAAATGTAATCAATAAACCTAGAGATACGTTAAATATGACCGATCAGCTTGGAAATGTGAAAATATAAAAATATATGAATAATAAATAAATGATAGACCATCTTGAATGTGTTACTATCAGGTATAGAGCCCTAGGATACCACGTAAAACATGTAACAGATTACGACAAGTCGACTTGTGAAATATGGCTACTTAACTTTAGATAACATCACGGGGATGTTTCTTGTTTACCTGGACCGGGTTTCTTCCTGGTTAGTATAGTCTATGAGGTTGGCTGTGTATGAAATGACAGAGTATCCCCTTGACAGTGTAGTCCCAGTTCCACATCGGATATTTCTCAGACAATTGTATATGTGTCAACACAAGAAATAATCAACGCTTGTGTGTATCAGAGTGGAATATTTAACGAGGATGATAAAATATTTGGAAAATAGTTAACTAGAGCTGTTTCAGGATCATTACATTATCTTTCTAACAAATTCTTTTTAAGCCTATAATATGTCGTAATCTTTCCAACAACATAATGTTTTAAGGCTCAATAACTCGAAATTACATCCTTGTTTTATATTTTCCGTGATGCAAACTTGGTTAAGGTTCAACAAGACACCTAAAAGATGTAATAGTTACCCTAAATGTCAACCCCCTGGCAAGTTATATTCAAATAGCCTTATCGAAAATCGGAATACATATATGTAATTTTAATACATTTAACTAGTACATGAGTTATTAAATATGTACATAACCAGGTTAATGAAGTCAAAATACGCCATTAAGGAGAATGTAATGATAAAAATTGCTCACCAGATTTGTAACATGTCAATCTCTTAAGCGACCTAACTGAATGTTACAAAATGACATGTTATTTGAAGATCATTTATATACCTAGGTCATGCGGGGCTTAATTCCGCTTGAACTATGTGTGGAGAGGTATAGCGGCATCACAAGAAGATGATTGTTGCTATGGGAAAGTACAAAAATCATAGTGAAACGTCCGCGTAACATATTTTACCGGTATACATGTGTAAAACCATAGACCTTTGACCATAAACACTACTTAAACTCGTATAAAATGTCCTTTCGTAACATTCAATGTTTTTATGAAAGAGCTAGACTTGTTATTAACATTATTGTACTTTTCAGCTTCAATGTTTACCACATGTCTAGCGCATTCGTATAATCACAGAATGTTATCAAATGGCACATCATTTAAAGTTCATTTATCGATCAAGGTTACATAGCCTTTGTTTTCTTATTTATAATATAATCTACTAAAATATATTTCCAGGGGATTTTACTATGACTTTAGTGGCTTCGCATGGCAACATCTATCTTTATTTGAGGTCGGAATTCCTCTTAACAGCTAGTAGAAGAGAAATAAGCTCCCCAAGACCTAGGTATATAAATAAACTTTAAATTATGGGTCATCTCTCAGCACTCAGTTGGATCGCAAAAGAGATTGCCATGTTATAATTCCAGTGAGCTATTTTTATGAAGACATCAGCCTTAATGCCTTTTTTTTTACTACGTTAACCTGGCTATGTATTTTTTGTATAGCCAATGTACTAGTTCATTGTATACAAATCACTTATATAAGTTCCGATTTTTAATTGAGTTCTTTGAACATGAATTATCAGGGGGTTGAAATTCTAGGTGACTACATCATCTTTTAGGGGTCTTGTTGAACCTTAAGGTTGATTCCTCGTGCCTGTAATTTTATTAAAAACAATACCCTGGCATTGACCATAATGATTGGACACACTAGTTTACGAACAATGGCTATTTTCTTTATTGTTAACTTTTCGATGTTTCAAAATACTTCATATATAATCATACGTCACATGATGTGTTTTAAAAACAAAAGTGAAACTGAGTCGCCTCTGGAAATAAATGGCGATAATTATGAACATTCACAAAATAGACAAAGCTGAATCTTTTAATTATTAGTTGGCAGAGTTCGTTATTTAATTACACTCCGACTGCTTCCGTCTCCTTAATAACTTCTCGACAATGTGTATAACGAAACTAAGTATTACTGACAAACTTAACCTATTGAATAATAATAAAGCTGCAGGCTCTCACATCATCTCTCCCTAATTCATAAAAGATGTCTTACAGTCTAAAAAACCTCTTCATTTGATATTCAAAGAAATCGTCGCTTTAGGCAATGCAAGCCTCCATACACTAGCTAGTCGGCAAACATGGATGTGACATGAACGATTAAACGTATCATCTCCCAAGACAAAATTCAGTCAGGGATTTTATCAAAAAATTCATAAGTTTGAAAATTATTAGTTATACACAATGAAGGAGTTGAACATATACAATTGAAGACAAAGGCAAGGGAACCAGAATGATATCAGCGAAGATTTGATATGTGTTTGGCTCGATGGTAAGATTGACAAGGTTATGCTGAAATGGTACGTAAGTGAAATTGTAAAGAGACAAAGAATAATCTTTGATAAATATACTTAAAATTGGGAAACCTTACAGACAGGAGGAGTGCCACAAATGTCAGTTGTCATTTCAAGGATGATTTCTCTGACAACATTTGTCATATATACAAATGGTGTCTAGAAATCCTCCCTGGAATAACACACCAGCAACTTATGGGCCACAAGGCCTACGGAATAAAGAACATTGAACATCACTAACAAGCTAAACCTATTTTCACGATATCTTATGCTACCTTTATGCCCTTTCTCACTATCCTCTGAACTTTTTCTAGTCCCTCGGAAGGGACGTTCAACGGGTGTCTGGTGTAAGGTGAGTCGCGCCTTGCACAATATTACTACTTACTGTTAGCCGCCATGGCGTGTTGGTTATACGTTAAAACTAGCGTAGGGATTTAAGCGACAGACCATATTAAAATCCCTGAATAATAGCAATAAAATTAGAATACCCTAAGCAGCCATATTTGAACTCTTCTTTATCATTTATAAAAAAAGGGAAATTGCACCATAGCCCCTTAGGTTCGGTAATACATGTAACTGAAACAAGGATGTAAACCCCGAATAAACGAAGGACCATACCTGTTTCTTTTATATATGAATGATATTGGGGAAGAACTTACTTCTTATAACGATACATCTTCATATGAGTTGAGAGGGTGAAACAAGAACCTACTGACAATTCAAACGAATATAGAGGAGAGATATCTATTCGGACATACAACTGGGAGTCATTTGTTATACAGATAAAACAGTAGCTCTCTTGTAGACGCCCGACATAAGAACAATCAAATATCTTATTGGCACATTCCACATGTACCCAGAGTGCAACGTCTTGGAGCGAGTCCAAGCTAAAGGAGCGAGTCCAAGCTAAAGGAGCGAGTCCAAGCTAAAGGAGCGAGTCCAAGCTAAAGGAGCGATTCCAAGTCCAAGCTAAAGGAGCGAGTCCAAGCTAAAGAAGCGAGTCCAAGTCCAAGCTAAAGGAGCGAGTCCAAACTGAAGGAGCGAGTCCAAGTCCAACCTAAAGGAGCGAGTCCAAGTTAAAGGAGCGAGTCCAAGCTAAAGGAGCGAGTCCAAGCTAAAGGAGCGAGTCCAATCTAAAGGAGCGAGTCTAAGCTAAAGGAGCGAGTCCAAGCTTAAGGAGCGAGTCCAAGCTAAAGGAGCGAGTCCAAGCTAAAGGAGCAAGTCCAAGCTAAAGGAGCTAAAGGAGCGAGTCCAAGCTAAAGGAGCGAGAACTGTCACTCGATTAAGAAGGGGGACTAGGCATAATATTGTATATAGAGAGACGTCAGGCTTTGCTATGCTAACTAGAAAGCAATTGGCATCAACATATGGTACTGTGAAAGGTTGTTTGACACGGAAGTTCTCTCTTATGTATATTAATCAATTCAGGTGTGTGTCAAATAATTACAAATAAAACATACGATTTTTCTAATAAAATGCTGTTAAATGTGATTATACTAAGAACCTATCGATAGTGTATTATTTTCGCCCCGAAACCTACTTATGTCAGAATAGAACAGGCTCGACTTCTCCAATTCCTTCAATGACTACTCTTATTTGATCCCCGAAAGGGATTTTCTATTTTCGCCTGATATGGATGCTCAACAACTACATGTGCATTGTATGTACCATTGCTTTTCATGTCATGGTGACAAAAAAGTAAACACAAGCCTACGTCAATTAATTTAAGTGATAGCCCTGCCAGTGTATGTAGATATCCTCCACTGCTACTCTTTATAATAACAACAATTCCTTTTGAACTCCCGTTATGTTGTCAATTCAATTTTTGATTGATCGTTTGGGGCTTTACGTCCTTAATTGTTTCAGTTGTTAATACCGAGCCTAAGGGGTTAAGCTTCAATTTCCCCTTTTAACAGTTCAAATGCTGCCAGTTATGATGTGTTTTTAACTTAATTATTATGTCCTAACTATCAATATCCATATACTGCAGCTGATCCTAACGTTCATTAAACAGTAAATATTGTACATTTACAAGGTTTTTGTTCACTCGTGCGCATGTCACGCTTCTTTACCGGCTTATCAGCTGTATGTCTGAAAAAGTCAGAACAATTTGTCTGTACTACTGGCCACCAGCCCTAGTGTGGCGGACTGATATTATAGTGACGGCCCTAGTCTTCTCTTCCATGGTCGGCCGTGACGCAATAAACGTTCATGCAAACCACATATAAAATTGACCGTTTACCATTATACACATTATCAGTTTTAAACAGACGGACCTTACGTAGACAATCCGACAACCTTTTTCGACGGGTTACATGGAGATTCGGAATGTTGCTCTGCACGTGAACATGATTGGGACAGACCATTCGTGTTTTCAGGGCCGAGGAAGCCGACTGCTCCACCACAACAGTGACTCATCAATACAATATAATATCATCGCTACAACAGTGTTATCTCGTGCAGCCTATCGTTGCTCGGGAATGGACGAAACCCAGTACATTTCAAGGTCCCATACATTAACACCAAGTCGTTCGTTTCTTATATATATCATCTTTTAATTAAAACAGCACTCGCTTTACCGCTTGTATTAATTTTGATAATTAAGACTGTTACATGAAGCTGACAAGACATCCGTCAGTGAAACATCGACTATGCAGCCATCCCATCACTTACTCTCGTACACTTGTGCTCGTTACATTAGAGGGATCTCGTTGTACATATTACTCACTAGGCCACTACGACACTAGTGTATAGCTTAATACACGCGCATCCCTCCACTAAATCCGATACTGAAGAGATAGTTTCAGCAGCACGCATCATATCACCCTCCGTGAGGATTTCTGATTTAAATGTCAGCTCAGCAAGTACAGTGAAGATGTGTGTGATGATATTTTCTCCAGTGAATGTTGTACGGGAGGACTACACATATCTTATGCTATAATACACGCCTTAATGCCGTGCTGCAAAAGGATATCATTGAAAACAGGTAAACTAATCACCTATTGTTTATATTATAAAAGAATGCAATCTTATTACAGATGTATCACATTTGCATGTATCTGAATATGATCAAACTGCTGATTTTTAACACGTATTTTCTTAATTATTTTGTATAATGTATATCTCATATGCCTGCTTACATGTGATATCTGTGATGTACGAGGTAATGCATGGAATGCGATGTGTATTAAACATTCTATTTATAGCTCTACTCACAAGTACATTGTATTACAGTAGAAATTCCCGTGCGTGATTACTTGCACTAAGTCACCATGTTTAATGTCACGGCAGTAAAACGTATTGTAGAACATCCACTCTGTGTTTTGTAAGTCGAGGGTCAAACGCAGTCAGATTGATTAATGAGCTAGTTGCTTATATATTTGGTAAAACAACGACCTGTGTACTATGTAACTATAATTTTGCGACCTGTATAATAACATTTTTGTAAAAAGTCTACTGTTATATAGTATATTTATTTTATGTCCCCTTGACTTGCATAAGGCGGCCCAACATAGTTAGTTTCACGTGTCCGGTGAATGTTGTCTCTTGGTGTCCGCCTAATAAGTCATCTGGAAGACAAGTTGACATCTTGAGTGAAGCACAAGGACGCTATCCTGGTGGCGTTACCATATATACACTGCATCAACTGCAGTGTACTGTGAAGTTAACGGTAGAGGGAGCCACGATCATAGTAATGTTCTGTACTGATTAATGACATGATTATAGATTAGCTGTCGTTGATTATTAATCATGATACTCATGGCCCGTATGGTAAACGATAATTCAGGTCCCAATCTAGGGGGTAAACGGTTCTCCATTGATATTTCCCATATCCCCGATCCCTGTGGTAAACAGTAGTTCATTTATTGATATTTTACATGTCCCAGATCACTGTGGTAAACAGTCTAGTAATTCATTGATATTTCCGATGTCCCTAGACCCGTGGTTATGCTGATTCATTGATATTTACCATGTCCCTGATCCCTTTGACATTTTAAAACGACAGTCGATTGCCATTCCTCATGTCCCCGATCCCTGTGGTATACGTTTGCTACATTGTATTTTCTATGTCCCTAACCCGTAATCCCGAAAGTTAACCGTAGTCCATTAATAAATAATATGCCCCTTACCACTGTGGTGATCAGCAGTCCATTGATACTTGTTTATTACAAGTCCCTTATCCCTGTAGTAAATGGTAGCCTATTGGTATTTCTATGTCCCTGGTCTCTGTGGTAAACAGTAGGCTATTGATATTTCCCATGTCCCCGGTCTCTGGTAAACAGTAGACTATTGATATTTCCAATGTCCCCGGTGTCTGGTAAACAGTAGACTATTGATATTTTCCATGTCCCCGGTCTCTGGTAAACAATAGACTATTGATATATCCAATGTCCCCGGTCTGTGGTAAACAGTAGGCTATTGATATTTCCATGTCCCGGGTCTCTGGTAAACAATAGACTATTGAATTCATTGATATTTCCGATGTCCCTAGACCCGTGGTTATGCTGATTTATTGATATTTACCATGTCCCTGATCCCTTTGACATTTTAAAACGACAGTCGATTGCCATTCCTCATGTCCCCGATCCCTGTGGTATACGTTTGCTACATTGTATTTTCTATGTCCCTAACCCGTAATGCCGAAAGTTAACCGTAGTGCATTAATAAATAATATGCCCCTTACCACTGTGGTGATCAGCAGTCCATTGATACTTGTTTATTACAAGTCCCTTATCCCTGTAGTAAATGGTAGCCTATTGGTATTTCTATGTCCCTGGTCTCTGTGGTAAACAGTAGGCTATTGATATTTCCATGTCCCGGGTCTCTGGTAAACAATAGACTATTGATATTTCCCATGTCCCCGGTCCCTGGTTAACAGTAGACTATTGGTATTTCCCAGGTCCCCGGTCTCTGGTAAACAGTAGGCTATCGATATTTCCCATGTCCCCGGTCTCTGGAAAACGGTAGACTATTGATATGTCCCATGTCCCCGGTCTCTGGTAAACAATAGGCTATTGATATTTCCCATGTCCCCGGTCTCTTGTAAACAATAGACTATTGAATTCATTGATATTTCCGATGTCCCTAGACCCGTGGTTATGCTGATTTATTGATATTTACCATGTCCCTGATCCCTTTGACATTTTAAAACGACAGTCGATTGCCATTCCTCATGTCCCCGATCCCTGTGGTATACGTTTGCTACATTGTATTTTCTATGTCCCTAACCCGTAATGCCGAAAGTTAACCGTAGTGCATTAATAAATAATATGCCCCTTACCACTGTGGTGATCAGCAGTCCATTGATACTTGTTTATTACAAGTCCCTTATCCCTGTAGTAAATGGTAGCCTATTGGTATTTCTATGTCCCTGGTCTCTGTGGAAAACAGTAGGCTATTGATATTTCCCATGTCCCTGGCCTCTGGTAAACAGTAGACTATTGATATTTTCCAATGTCCCCGGTCTCTGGTAGACAGTAGGCTATTGATACTTTGTTATGTAACTCTGTTGATACTCAGTAGACTATTAATATTTTCCATGTCCCCGGTCTCTGGTAAACAATAGGCTATTTATATTTCCCATGTCCCTGGTCTCTGGTAAACAGTAGGCTATTGATATTTTCCATGTCCCTTGACTCTGGTAAACAGTAGACTATTAATATTTTCCATGTCCCCGGTCTCTGGTAAACAATTGGCTATTGATATTTCCCATGTCCCCGGTCTCTTGTAAACAATAGACTATTGAATTCATTGATATTTCCGATGTCCCTAGACCCGTGGTTATGCTGATTTATTGATATTTACCATGTCCCTGATCCCTTTGACATTTTAAAACGACAGTCGATTGCCATTCCTCATGTCCCCGATCCCTGTGGTATACGTTTGCTACATTGTATTTTCTATGTCCCTAACCAGTAATCCCGAAAGTTAACCGTAGTCCATTAATAAATAATATGCCCCTTACCACTGTGGTGATCAGCAGTCCATTGATACTTTTTTATTACAAGTCCCTTATCCCTGTAGTAAATGGTAGCCTATTGGTATTTCTATGTCCCTGGTCTCTGTGGAAAACAGTAGGCTATTGATATTTCCCATGTCCCTGGCCTCTGGTAAACAGTAGACTATTGATATTTTCCAATGTCCCCGGTCTCTGGTAGACGGTAGGCTATTGATATTTCCCATGTGCCCGGTCTCTGGTTAACAGTAGACTATTGATATTTCCCATGTCCCCGGACTATTAATATTTTCCATGTCCCTGGTCTCTGGTAAACAGTAGGCTATTGATATTTCCATGTCCCCGGTCTCTGGTAAACAATAGGCTATTGCTCTTTCCCATGTCCCCGGTCTCTGGTAAACAATAGGCTATTGCTCTTTCCCATGTCCCCGGTCTCTGGTAAACAATAGGCTATTGATATTTCCCATGTCCCCGGTTTCTGGTAGACGGTAGGCTATTGATATTTCCCATGTCCCCGGTCTCTGGAAAACGGTAGACTATTGATATGTCCCATGTCCCCGGTCTCTGGTAAACAGTAGCCTATTTATATTTCCCATGTCCCCGGTCTCTGGTAAACAGTAGGCTATTTAAATTTCCCATGTCCCCGGTCTCTGGTAAACAGTAGGCTATTGATATTTCCCATTTCCCCGGTCTCTGGTAGACAGTAGGCTATTGATATTTTGTTATGTCCCCGGTCTATGGTTAACAGTAGGCTACTGGTATTTCCCATGTCCCCGGTCTCTGGTAAACAGTAGGCTATTGATATTTCCCATGTCCCCGGTCTCTGGTAGACAGTAGGCTATTGATATTTCCCATGTCCCCGGTCTCTGGTAAACAGTAGGCTATTGATATTTCCCATGTGCCCGGTCTCTGGTTAACAGTAGACTATTGATATTTCCCATGTCCCCGGTCTCTGGTAAACAATAGGCTATTGATACATTTGTATAGTAAGCAGTATGGTAGTTGTCAATGTATTAATCCATCAGAGTAGATACGTAGTATAGAAGTTGTAATTGTATTACTCCATCAGAGTAGGCGGTATGGTAGTTGTCACTGTTTAGTCCATCAGAGTAGGCAGTATAGTACTTGTCAATGTATTACTCCATCAGAGTAGGCAGTATAGTAGTTATCAATGTATTACTCCATCAGAGTAGGCAATATAGTAGTTGTCATTGTATTACTCCATCAGAGTAGGCAGTATAGTAGTTATCAATGTATTACTCCATCAGAGTAGGCGGTATGGTAGTTGTCACTGTTTACTCCATCAGAGTAGGCAGTATAGTAGTTGTCAATGTATTACTCCATCAGAGGAGGCAGTATAGTAGTTGTCAATGGATTAATCCATCAGAGTAGATACGTAGTGTAGAATTTGTAATTGTATTACTCCATCAGAGTAGGCAGTATGGTAGTTGTAATTGTATTACACCATCAGAGTAGGCAATATAGTAGTTGTCATTGTATTACTCCATCAGACTAAGCAGTATAGTAGTTGTCAATGTATTACTCCATCAGAGTAGGCAGTTTGGTAGTTGTATTTTTTGTATTACACCATCAGATTAGGCAGTATGGTAGTTGTAATTGTATTACTCCATCAGAGTAGGCAGTTTGGTAGTTGTATTTTTTGTATTACACCATCAGATTAGGCAGTATGGTAGTTGTAATTGTATTACTCCATCAGAGTAGGCAGTATAGTAGTTGTCAATGTATTACTCCATCAGAGTAGGCAGTTTGGTAGTTGTATTTTTTGTATTCCACCATCAGATTAGGCAGTATGGTAGTTGTAATTGTATCACTCCATCAGAGTAGGCAGTATAGTAGTTGTCAATGTATTACTCCATCAGAGTTGGTGGTATGGTAGTTGTCAATGTATTACTCCATCAGAGTAGGCAGTTTGGTAGTTGTCAATGTATTACTCCATCAGAGTAGGCGGTATGGTAGTTGTCAATGTATTACTCCATTAGAGTAGGCAGTTTGGTAGTTGTCAATGTATTACACCATCAGAGTAGGCGGTATGGTAGTTGTCAATGTATTACTCCATTAGAGTAGGCGGGATGGTAGTTGTCAATGTATCACTCCATCAGAGTTGGCGGTATAGTATTTGTCAATGTATTACTCCATCAGAGTTGGCGGTATGGTAGTTGTCAATGTATCACTCCATCAGAGTTGGCGGTATAGTAGTTGTCAATGTATTACTCCATCAGAGTAGGCGGTATGGTACATGTAGTTGTCAATGTATTACTCCATCAGAGTAGGCGGTAAGGTACATGTAGTTGTAATTGTATTACTCCATCAGAGTAGGCAGTATGGTAGTTGTAATTGTATTACTCCATAAGAGTAAGCCGTATAGTAGTTGTCAATGTATTACTCCATCAGAGTAGGCGGTATGGTACATGTAGTTGTAATTGTATTACTCCATCAGAGTAGGCGGTATGGTAGTTGTAATTGCATTACTCCATTAGAGTAAGCAGTATAGTAGTGGTCAATGTATTACACTATCAGAGTAGGCAGAAAAGCAGTTATCATTTTGTAACGTCATAACACAAAGGACAATATGATAGTTGTCATCCGTAGACAGCATCAGACTATCATAGGAGAACGTTTAATACAGTGTAGTCGTGATTTTGTATCAGAATATGATTACAGACGGCATAGGCAGTTATCATAGTGTTCGCCACTGGATCATAAACGTCTTTACAGTTATCCCCTTATTATCCCAACAGACCAGATACACTTTTTGATACGAGATGGGTAAGGCAGGGAGGATCGCTTTAATGTTGAGATACAATACAATACGGACTGTGCCATTCAGGATCAGGTGCGATCAGGTCTTGTACAAGATGTGTTTAATAAGATAGAGTGACAGTGAAGGTTGGTAGAAGGAAACCAAGTTGTTATTGGAAGGTTAGAATGAAATACACCTTTATCTACCATAACCCGTGATTTACTACTGTAGAACTGTCCAATTTGTGAGGTTGTTTATAAAGAAGGATTCTCGACGGCTGATGTGCTGGAGCAGATAAGGACACTTTAGGTTTACCATAGTGTATCAGCACGTAGACTTAAGTGTAAAAACCATGCGCACACAAATATTTATATCTACTCGAAAAGACATTTTTTTTTTTTTTTGCACTCAGTGTTAATCATTCAGCATCATCAATAACAATACCGTGACAGTGTGCGTTTTCATTATTATTTGTTTATGATTGCTATAGCCAAGTAAATAATAATAATATAAATACCATTATGAATATATATTTTCCATAAAAAAACACCTTTCTTAATATTTTTTTATTTTTTTATTTATTTTTATTTATTTTTTTGTAGCGTTATTCTATATATATTATATATCATATTATGCATTACGAGAACATGCTATATTTTGGCATTCCTTTTCTTTATACTTAATTATGTTTTCCAAGACATATAATGATAATAATGTGAAGTATGTTTTATTTTTAGCAAATAATTGGAAAAAAATAATCACTGTGTTGGTCATTGTAATGAGCTGTCTTGATTGAAATGTTCATCATAATGCTTGTTGTCTTTTTTTATTTATCTATTCATAATTTCAAGTACATGTTACATTTACTTGCATGTTGTTCTACATGTATTTTTATTCATTGTATTATTCATTCATTCACTCATTACTTTGTCCATTTGTTCATCTTCATCTTTCATTCCATTCATCTATAAATCTATCCATTCACATATCCAACTATTCATTCATTTATACCATATACATTATATATAAGTTCATATTTTTTCCATGAAAAACTTGATTGTACTTTTCCTATTATTCTAATATTTTGTATGTAACATTTTTAATTCATGTCATGGCATATATATTGTTCATCTCCCATTCCGTTCATCTATCACTCTATCCATATACATATTTCAATGAAATAATTGATTGCACTTTTCCTATTATTCTTATATTTGGTATGTAACAATTTTAATTCATACTTAAATTGGGATAACAAATAATTCCTTTCTGTTTCTGTTCGCTAATATGATATACTTTATAAATGGTGTATCCAATTATAGTAAGTAAAATATTGACATCTGTATAACTTTTGCAGTTAATTTTGTAACCAACTACAATATATTTTGGATTTTGCATAATTTCTTTAGAATTACAAAGGTAATCTAAATTTTGTATTTAGATTTCCTTATGCGACAGCTGTTTTTTCAATAGGGTTCACATTAATTACTAAGATGAATTTTTTTCTCTGAAATAAAACTAACTGCTTCCAAGTAAGTTGTTTTTCAAGTTACAACTTAGGTAACTAAATGTGTTAACTGTGATTATCGGTCAAGTGCATTCAGCGTTATAAAACTTTGCCCTATGTGCACCGGAAATGAAGATACAAATGTCAACATTTTAAGTTGAAAAATGATGATGCACTGCTTGTATAATTCATAATCATTTTATTTGTTTTGTAGATCTGACATGATGAGCGTTTGATACAAAACTTTTTTCGCCATACTGTAAGTCCAATTTTCTCAACTTCAACTAAGCTGTCCGGAAACTCCACATCTCACAGACGATAGACCGAAATACATACGATGATTTTGCCAGTCCTACTTTTCCTCCTACCCATACTGCCCCTTGCGATGTTTCAGGCGCAACCTGTCCAGTATCATACACTGGGCACGCCCTTAGGAAAACTAACTGGAAGACAGATAGCTTTTGGGACAGATGCGACGGTGTATCAGTTCCTTAAAATTCCGTTTGCCAAGCCACCTGTGGGAGACCTACGATTCCAGAAGACAGTACCAGTAGAGAGATGGAGCAGCATACATGACAGTACCGAACATGGGCCCTCATGCTTACAAGAGATCCCCGCAGCAATAAAACAATTTCTCAGTAACAAAGAGGTTTCAGAGGATTGTCTGCATCTTAATGTATACACTTCTGGCGATTTGTCTCCAACAACCAACAAAAGTGTTATGGTATTTTTTCATGGTGGTGGGTTTCTTACAGGTCAAGCTCAACTATACGACGGATCAGGACTAGCTGTCAATGGGGACGTGATAGTTGTCACAGTGAATTACAGGCTGGGTGTTCTCGGTTTCTTCAGCACGGGTGATTCTGTAGCAAGGGGAAATTATGGTCTTTGGGATCAAATTGAAGCCCTGAAGTGGGTGCAAAATAATATAGGATCTTTCGGTGGTAATCCCAATTCTGTGACGATTTTTGGCGAATCCGCTGGAGCATTTAGTGTATCTCTCCTCTCCGTCATACCAGAGAACAAAGGCCTGTTCCAGCGAGTCATTTTGCAGAGTGGTGACTACAGCTCCTACTATGCTATCAACAAAAAGCCGAACGATTTTGCTACTGCATTTAGCTATCAGTCTAAGTGTAGAAATCTACAAACATCACAAGCCATGTTCGATTGTGTCCGAAATATTCCCGCTGATCGCATCATTCCAACACAGAATAAGGCCATTTTGTTCAGTCTACTTGCTCCTGATAGTTTATTCAATTCGCCACTTGCCCCAGTCATTGATGGAGATCTTATCAAAAGTGATCCTGTCGAGTCGGCGCAAAACACCTCTTCCGACATGATCGCGTTCTTTCAGTCACTAGACTTGATGGCGGGCTGTGTCAGTACAGAGGGGTCATTACTCCAGGCCTATATCTATCCATACATGGAGACCAAGTACGACTTCAATACTAGTGAAGGGGTCCCCACCTCTTTACTTCGCTCGTATTTTGCACGTACTCTCGCGGAACAACTTTACAATAACCAAAGCAACGTTTGGAGGGCGATTGTGGACAAGTTCGGTTCCAGTGATATAGAAGTCCAGGCAAGAAAAATAATGGACTTGTATGGCGATGTTTTCTTCTATCTGCCGATGATTCGAGCCGTAGATTTGCATTCTTCAAACAATAAAGACGGTAACACTTTCCAGTACATGTTTAGTGAACCAACCCCTATACCGATATCTGGGAAACAACAGCCGTCTTGGTTCCGTGGTTCGGAGCACGGTGCCGATCTTATCTTCCTTTTTGGTATAGAAAAACTAAATCGTATTATCAGCATCCCATCGTCCACAATGGACTTCGTACAGCAGCTGAGGACCTACTGGACGAACTTCGCTAACAATGGGTAAATCAATACTACGTTTCAGTCTTTCCTTGCCACTTTAACATAGAAGTTGTATAACTTTATTTATCACATAACTGACCAATTTGCTATGTCATACGGCCATGTATACATATGTTATACCACACGCTTTGATAAATCATTTCTGGGAAGAAAACTATACCATGCGGGACTTTTATGAAAGATGATAAAGATAAAATAAACAAAATATAATCAATAACAGTGCTCTGGGTGTAACAAATCCAGAGGGTTAGACCGGGATTCAAATCCTGGACTTCAGTGTGATGCAATGTCGCTCTAACCGATTGAAATGTCATAGTCCAGTTGTTTCTACAGTAAAGAGGGGATAACTGTTTTTAGGGAAATATACATTGCAGTTGAACAGGAATCCTTAATACATTTCACAGCGGTATGCTTATATAACCATTTTAATTTTATAGCCATTTCCTTAATTATTTGTTTCAGAGATCCTAACCGTGGCAGAAATGTGAATATCCGGTGGCCAGAGTATAATTCGGCAAACCGTAGCTTTATCGACCTTGCGGCATCATCCGTTTCTCAACAAACAGCCATGCTCCAGGATCGTGTCAAGTTTTGGGAGAAGGACTTGCCACTGATTGCAAGTACGAACGTCACAGACAGTGCTGTGTCGTTAGCAACTGCCAAATGGACAATACTTATTATGTTATTTGTCAATTCCATACTCCGTAGGCTCTGATATGAATGTCAAACATAGAATGTATGTTGGTAGAGTTACAGTAGGTATGATGAAAGTTGTATTCATTTTGCATTCGCCTGTCCGAAACAAAACCCATCAGATGAAAAAGTGAGTGTCGGAGAATGTTTTAGTAAGCTCTAGCTGCTTGAACAAACAAACAAGATGCGATTACAACATGCATCAGGGAGAGAAAGAGTGCGTATGTCATTTGCTGGTGCGTACGGTTATATTTATTTCGTTCCAAATCAAGGTGGGTTTGTACACAATGAACAACCCTTCCAAACCGTTTGTTTAGCAGAGTATTATACCACATAGTATGTTTTAACAGCAGCATGCCTATTGCATTACCTGAAAGCTGTTCCTGTTGTAATCTCTAGTCGTCAAGTATCTGTACTGGGAGGCACAAGTTCGCTATGATAAGTTACATACGTCATAGGTTGTACATTACTGCTTACCAGTAGGTGTGATTTGTGTGAAAGCTGCACATCGAGGTATCGTATCTCGTGTCTGCAACCCTGCTGGTTACATTAACACGTTTCCACGTTGTTTTTGTTTTGTTATCAATCTCGGCCTTATTCGGTCTATGTTCTTGCTCAAAGTCAAACATCAGCCTCAGTTAACGAACTGGCAATAGTACTGGTAAACCCTACAAAAATCATAATTAAAACATCAAACCTGCTCAGAGTGTAGTTTATCTGTCTAAATACAAAACTGAACATTAACGACGTCGGACATTAAACTAAACACTTTCCATTACAAAAACAAAATCATGGATAAATCAAAGATACTTGTATTGAAAAGATTGTTTTTGAAAAGTTTTCGGCGTGAATAACTGAATATTGAATAGTTACAACATTTACATGTAAAGATAAAGTAAAGCTGAACAGCAAATACAATCAAAGCATAATATTAACCAGACAGAACTGAACATTAACCAATTAATGATAAACATTGATGATGTATAACTAAATATTGACGATTCAAAATTAAACGTTTGTCATTTTCTCCAAAACTTGCGACTTTCCTTGTTAACCAATGCCTAGCAAGTTCTTACATGACCATAGCCGTTAATAAAACGTAAGCACAAACAAAACCAGAAGCAAATCTAGTGTACCAATATATGCGAGCCTAACATCCTTGATAACACACCTTATACTCCTTTCCTATGGGTATTTTCTCTCCAAGCGTAATGTATTAATGGCACGTGCTATAAGACTGCAGTAATATATTAGTTACATTATTGCAGCATACGTATTAATACAAGATGAATGGCAGTGCACGTGACGTTACAAGATGTAAGTCACGTGATGTTACAAGATATATGTGAGCTTATCGTCCTTGATAACACGCCGATTCTAATGTATATGTGTCATATGAACCGTGACATAAATACCCGTCAGGAGACATTCGTATTTTCGATCAGTGAACAGCTTGCTGTTTGATCGACAGTGAGGTGGGGATACCATAGCTGACTGTTTCTAAACGGTAAATCTCCTGTTGATCCACGTGACTGCTTGTGCGCGTGCCTCTCCGCTCGATTCACTTGCCCCCTGGGACATGAAAGGTATCACACTGTTTAAGTGTATTACCGCCATCCCTTTCCACAAATACGCACACACTATCAGGTAGCAATATTTGTAATGCATACACACAAATAGTGTAGCAGTATTTACAACAAATACACAAAAATGGACAGCAGGATTTTACGATGAACACACACAAACATGCAACAGCATTTTTACAATGCATACACACAAACATGCAACAGTATTTTTACAATGCGTACACGCAAACATGCAACGAAATAATCAATATGTTCACGTTAAAAGGCAATAAGTATAGACAAATACAGAACGTGAACATGACAGATACAAATTCCGTTTTATCTTTATAAAGTTTCTTATTGAATTATAACAAGTGCTCAGCAGCGACCCTGTCCTGTCCTCTACAGTTGTTTAGTGATGTTCTTGGCTTTTATTTCACATACATAAAATGCTGAAGTGTTATATATATCAATGTATTAGAATAAAACGTACACAATGCGTAGCTATAACCTCTATCAGTCATACAACTCCATATTAACGATATTTGGCAGTATATTGAAAGCTTACCATTACAGCAACAATTAACATTAATACTGTATAATTAATGGTATTTAGCGTATAAGTCTGAGCAGTGACTGTGCAGACTTGTACACTGATCGAATCAAACTGAACATTTACAATGTGTTGGTGAACATTATTTATGAACAGTTTAACATTGGCCATGTACATATGTATATAAAAAAACATTGACTATTGACAATGTGAAGCTGAACATCAGCAATTAAAACATAGCATTGTTCCTTAAAGCTGAACATTGACCATCTTAAAATATACACTATTGACATACGTGTATGAAACTGAACTTTGACAATTTAAAGCTTAACGCGAGATGAGAGTTGACATTTGAACATTTTTCGTAATAAGACTAAGTATTTGCTACCGTAAAGCAGCTTATGTACCATGTTAAACTACACTTTCGTCCTTAAAGCTGAACATTTATCATATTATACTTAACGTTGACAATGTACAGATGGATATTGGCCCTGTAAATTAGGCAGTTCTTTATTATTTCTTGTTGTCATCAAATTTAAAACAAATGCCATAGTAGGTTTTTTATGATTATAGTTTTTAATGAAACGGTTTCTTAAATCAGTATAATGACTACATCTAATAATAAAATTATACTCGTCTTCAATATCGCCAGTGTTACAATATATAAAAAATTCTATTTTTTCTCTCTAAACCATGAAATCTACCCGTTTCAATATTCAACGTATGCGATGACAACCGATTTTTAGCAATTTGTTTTATATTTTGTAATCCAATAGGTTTAATTACTGTTTAAGACAAAACATACCACAAATCCATTTATGAAGAGAACACTTAGCAGATGAATTAATTAAATCTAGACACTCCTGTTGAAAAATGTCATGCATTCTGCATTTAATAATTTTCAGAAGTTGACCTTCATTACCCTCTGTTAGCCATAAATATCCCAAACCTAACCTATATAATTCGTTTCTTATGTTATTTGTCCAGTCGCTGCCCTTTTCAATCATCTCATCGTAACAAGCATTTAAAATGCAAATGTCCGACATTCTTAGTTTAAGCCAATATTTAAAAATTCTAAATTTTCTTATCATATGTAAAGGTAGCCTCCCTAATTCTTGATAAATCATTACATTAGGTGTGTATTTCTTAAACCCCAAAACTCGTTTACAATAATTCAAATGCACTTCTTGAGCTTTGTGACAGCCCCAAACTTCAGCTCCATAGTTTAGGACACTGCACACAAAAGTATCAAAAACGCTAAGTTGGGTTTCAATATTGAAATATTTCCTTTTACAAACATTGGATACAGCATAACGTGCTTTCCTACCTTGTTCTGCTAATTTCTCTTGTGTAATACTAAATTTACCATTGAGTTTTATTAAAATTCCAAGGTAGCTAAAACTATCAACATTTTCTAAAACATTACCATCATCTAACCATTTTTCTGCCTCCTTCAACTTACCACCATTTCTAAAAATGATTGACTTTAGATTTTTTAACATTAACAGTTAGATTCCATTTCTTAGTGTATTGTAATAGTGTGTCTAACCTTTTTTTGCAATCCCTCTGCCGATTCAGCTAACCAAACCATATCATCTGCGTACATTAGAAGAAATAAGTTAATAGTTTGGAGTTCTATAGAAGGACAGTTATCAGTTAAAAAATGCATCTCACAATCATTCACATAAAGAGAAAATAAAATCGGTGACAATATTTCGCCTTGGAACAAACCATTCCTGCATTCGAAGATATTAGACATTGAATTGTTGAATTTAACACAACATTTTACATCGTTATATAAAGAACGTATCATATTTAACAGTTTACCTTCTACTCCTTCCTTAATTAGTTTAAACCACAAATAATGTCTGTTAACAAAATCGAAAGATTTCTTATAATCTATGAAACAACAATATAGCTTCTTTTTGTCTTCTTTAAAGTTCTATTAATTAACGATTGCAAGACAAAAACAGCATCTATGATTGACATATGCTTTCTGAAACCAAATTTAGCATCACTAATTTTAGAATAAACCAAATTCCTTAAGTCGATTATGTAAGGTTGCTATAAACATTTTGGCTAAACAACTAACTAGATTAATTCCTCTATAATTATTTGTGTCATTCTTATCCCCCTTTTTAAGTAAGGGAATAATATAACCTATTGACCATATGGAAGGATAGTTACCAGATTTGAACATTTCATTAAATAATTTAACAAGACAAGGAAATAAAACCTCTTTACCTCTGATAAAAAAACTCATTAATTAACAAAGCATGGCCATGTACTTCATCTGTGCTTAAGTTATTGATTACTAACTTCTTCTTTAGAAATGTCAATGTCCCGTTCATAAAACATAGCTTTAGGTATATCATTAGTGGCATCATACTTTCTCAAAAAATCGGTTACAGCCTCATTTTCACAAGGTTTCTTGGATGACAAATTACTAAAATGTAGATAAAAATCATGTTCATCAAGTGAAGACTTCACATTATTCTTTCTGTTATTGAAATATCTATAAAAATTATTTGGATTTTTTTTCTCATGAAGTTCAACATGATACATTGATGTGTTTTGTGCAGCCTCTTCAACTTAAGTTCCATTTTCTTATAACTGCGTTTTTTAAAAACACGTGCATCATGATTTTCTTCGTTCTTACATGAATTGAATATAAATAAAGCATTCTTATATTCCATATAGCGAAGTTTGCAAGTTTCATTGAACCAGAGTTTATCTTCTTTGCCTTTTTTCTTATAATCACGTACAGGATGGGTAACAACACTAAGAGGTAGTAACAGTTCTTTCAGAATATCAGTAAAAAAATTAACACATTCGTTGATTCGAGTTTGGCTCATATCATTACTGTCACAACAATAAGATAACTCGTTTCTGTTATTTTCTAACATATGACGTAAAGTTTCTGTATTGTTATCATTCCATCTTATACGTGTCGGATTCTGATTACCAACCTGTTCCTGGACATTATTTACAACATTTGAACGCAAAGTTACATATCGGAGAATGGTCTGATAAAGCATTAAATACCCCAATTTCAAAATTGATAATATCTCCAATAACAGTACCAAAATTTAATATATAGTCAATAAGACTAGTACCTCTACTATTAAAGAAGGTAACACTGCCATTTGGATCATTTTTGTGCCTTCCATTAACTGTTCTTAAGACAGTAGTCTTACACAAGGATAAAAGTTGTCTACCAAACTGATTGATAACTGGGTCTGAATTGGAACGTTTAGTTGGTACAGAATCTGGCACATACGATACAATATTGGAGATAACATTGGCGGAAAACTCTGGGATACTGTCATTATTAATATAATAATTATTGTTTCCCGTTCTGCTATTAAAATCACCAAGCCCCATTACTTTACCCACATCTTTGTACCGACACACCATTTCTTCTAGACAGGAAAACAAATCATTTTCGCATTTTTTATAAAAAGTGCTATTTACAGGCGGGAAATAACATGCAAAAAGATACAAATCCACATTGTCATTTGTTACATCACGAGATAGTTTTAGTAAAACAATATTGTCATTTATATTTTCAATAACATGACAATGGCAAGCAATCGAAGATCTAATAAAAATAATGATGCCGCCAACTTTACCGTGTAATCTATGGAAACTATGTGTTTCATAACGTAATAATTCAACAACATCTTCTTTACTGTTCAGCAAACCAACATCTTTGGGAGGATATATATACAATCTGATAAAACTAGACCTTTAATTCCTCTCAGATACTTTACGTTCCAATCAAAGATTTACAATCTTACTTCACCAACAAATTCGATAAAGACATTGCATGCCAATCAAGATAATTTAAAGTATAACGAAGCATTCAGATGATGGTTTTGTCGATGTCATATGTTTTCCTATAAGAAGACTACAGTCACATCGAGTGGTCAGATTACAATACCCTAGTTTACCAGCTCAGTCTGGCATCAGAAATATCATGGTAACTGAAAACAAACTTCTGTGAAGGATGCATGCTTTCACAAGAAACTCTCTCATCAAGATCCAGACTCCAACTCGCCCAGAATAATCACAACTGAAGCCACAGACGGTCAACAAGCATTTACTTTATATCAGCCCTCAAGGCTACTCCAACACTGTTAGAGTTTTAACACGGCGATATACTTTTAACAACCGCCGTTGCAGTCGGCATTATTATATCCTTTAAGAAATCGCCGACCAGCGGCCTCTTGTGTTGTAGGAGTATCCCAGGCATGTCTCAATCAACATCCACTACCTGAAGGATACCAAGCAACTTAATGCGAACATGCATGTAGAACACTATATTCATTATTCGTATATCATTACTTTAATGTATAAACTCTTTTGGTGCCAAACATTTGTGTATTACAGTTGGTTTTGAGAATATATATATTTATTTGGCCTGTTGAATACACGTACTGGTATTGTGAATATATTCACCATAATGTTTATTATGGTGCCTGCTGTTTCCAATATATATTATATGGCAGTATACATCTTATCAGTGACTTAAGTCTTTATTTTATTTAGTTTTTTTATTAGTACGAGAATATTGGCTTTTAATTTCTAAGAAAATTATTTTCCTGGCATTATAATTACATAAGAAATGACACGAAACCTACACGCCTTCGTAGGATGCATTTTTATATAGTCTAAACATGATTTAATAAATCCCTTTCAATCTTCGTATCGAAATATTTTACTAATGTTCATTTCAGTAATCGGAATGAAATCGACTAATAAACTAGTAAATATCTCTCTCACCTGTTGTCAGACCATTTTTTTATGACCATACAATCCTTCGAGTTCAGAATTAAGACTGCTAAAATATACTACATACCTTGTTCGTGTTAACCTAACGCACGCAGAAACATGTGATGTCACATACATTAGCATAGTGACTCAAAATTATATATATTGGACATCAGAAACACGTGTGTACGTGAATATTTATATATTAAAAACACGCGGGTACATATACATTTACACAGTCTCTCAATATTCCAACATCAGAAACACGTTGGTACATAGAAAATGTGGATATACAACCTGGTTATCTCCCCTGTAGTCGCTATCGCTTTGCAGACAACGACAAACCGATTATTGCTGATCTTCGGGATAACTTGGGTAGGTAATATATGTCTCAGCATGAACGGTATTATAATTTTAAATTTTTGTTTTGTTTTGCTTTACTCAACATGTTACTAAAAATGTAAGATAGTATAATAAGCAACACAGTGCAGCACAGCCACAGTATCAATGATTAGTAAAATAAGGCTTATCAGCGGTTAAAGAGAAATCATACAGCGTCCACAACCACTTATGTGTTGGGGTCCTGTGTATGCTAGTGTATGTTTTGTGACTTATTGTCAAATTCATTTGTGTATGCTTTATGAACTATTTCTATATTAATTTTCATATATTCATGTACTTTGCCTATGGGTGTTTTTTTTGATGTACTGTGTAATTATGTATAGCTAAGCAAATGCCGTGTATTATGTATATCATTAGCCCGAAGGACAAAAAATGTAAATCAATGTTCATGGCAAAGCATGAGCATAAAAAGCTAATAATAGAACATGCACATTAGGGTTAATGACATAGCATGCGCATGACAACCCTATGCCAGTATATGTGCATCAGGATTAACGGAGGACATAAGCATTGGTGTTGTAATGACAGATCATGAGCACGTTCAGACATTGTTTGATAATTGTAAAATTTAAACAAATAAGATGCGCCACATATAAATCATCGAGGGTGGACCTACCTTAAATGAGACGATCATTTACATTGGACAATTTTGCTGATACATGTTAATACGTTTGCGAATAGGACATGTATACAGTAGCACTTTGTATGTTACAAAAGATATGACATAAATAAGCTGCACAGAGGTTCACGATTGGGAACGTCATCATAAACAGGCATGATCCTTTTTTTAGATTTTATTTTCAATTATTGAAGGTGAAGGTTATAGCAATACACACTTGCTCATACAGGGGCTGACTACTTTAAATAGATACTATAATGTTTATAAACAGTATTGGTTATGTCTGACGTAAATGATTTATATTATCAACATATCGATGATAACAATATGTTATACAAGCTGAAGCTGATAGAATGAGGGTAAGACCAGACGTGATAGCATCATCACAAGATAGTAAGTGTTTAGCTGTCCCTGAATTTGACACCACTGATAACCACCAAGTCCGATGTCACTGGGTAAGATACGCAGCACACACCAGTATTTAACACGAACAATGTGGGGCTCGAGACACTCCACAGTCCTAATCGGTACTCGCACACGAAAATTAGACAAAAATGACAGAGATTTTACCCAGACAAAGTCGCACACGGGCAGACTCACGCATATAGTACAAACCAATAATATCATTCATTTGATAAAATGCCTTAAAAAATACATAAAATATTCAAAGCTGGTTTCTAGCGTGATATTTAATATAAAAATGACAAAAATGAAGTTACATTTGCAAACACTAAAAGCCCTTAAAAAGGTCATCATACTAAACAAAACAGTGGTAGTTTGTTCAAATGCAAAACGTTATGGTTTTAACACTTTACTCTCAACATATGTTTAATGTTTAATTTACTTCTTTCTGTACAGTCAATATCGTATGTGGCAAGGAAGATCGATATATAGATGATTATACTCACCGGAAATATATTCGACAATCACATATACGTTTGTTTGACCTGTCCTGGATTACAATGTAAATTCGTTTTTACTTCCAGAATAGGGTCAAACCTCACGATGACTGCCGCTACATGGCTGTTACAATTAACGTGTATGCTTACAATTAGTTCAACACTAACGGAGAGTATGGAGACGAAGACTATACAGACTCCCTCGGGGAAGATGATGGGTCTAAAGGTCGATATAACAACATTGAATAGCTTCGTATACCAGTTCCGCCGGATTCCGTATGCCAAACCCCCTATAGGTGATCTCCGATTCGCCAAGCCGCAACCAATGGCGCCATGGACAGACACTCTCAACGCCACATACTTCGGGCCGAACTGTATGCAGACTATCATTAATCCGGACGATCCCTTACTCCCCAACAAAACATTATCTGAGGACTGTTTAGTGTTGAATGTCTACGTGCCACCTAATACGACTGAGAGTAGCAAGAAACCTGTGATACTCTACATCCATGGCGGGAGTTATATAGCAGGCGCTGGAATGCTTTACGACGGTTCCTGTCTTGCTATATACGGCGACCAGGTAGTGGTTACTATTAACTACCGACTCGGTATCTGGGGCTTCCTTACGACGGGTGACTCCAACTGTCCCGGAAACTTCGGACTGTGGGACCAACGACTAGCTATGCAGTGGGCCAAGGCCAACATTCAGGCATTTGGTGGCGATCCCGACCTTATTACTATCTTTGGGGAATCTGCAGGCGGCTTTAGTGTTGCTATTCATTCTATATCGCCTATCAACAAGGGCTTGTTCAAGAGGGCCATGTCTCATAGTGGCACAGCTAATTCGTTTTTTGCCGTCGCGCAAAGTAAGTTAGCTAAATTAGCACAAATTGGAATGGGCCTTTTTGTTAAGTGTTTTGATGTAGAAAATAGTGCCAAGTTTTTACAATGCATGCGAACAAAGAGCTCCCAGGAGTTGCTCGTGGTTTCTGTCAACGTTGCTAATATAACATTTAATGACATACACCATCTGCACTACGCACTGCCCCTGGCACCTGTTGTAGATGGTGAATTCATCACAGAAAATCCTGCAAAAATCTTGAACGACCCTACTAGTCCAGGGATGCAGTTTTTCCGATCGCTTGATTACGTAGACGGTGATGTGAATTCCGAAGGATCTCTCCTTTTTCTGGAGCCGCTTTATTCCTTTCAGAAACCAAATCATTTTAATATATCGGAGGGAATACCTTATAGGATATTGTGTGATGACGTCATCGAAACCATAGTGAAGGAGTTTTTCAATAACAATCGCACCCTTAGGTATGTTGCTTGTTCCAGATACAAGTCCGCGAGTGGGGATGGTGTCGACCAAAGCCGACTTGCTGTTAACTTGTTTAGCGACATCTTCTTCTTCACACCCGGCGTATTGACACTGAACGCACATGCTGGTGGCACCAGAAGTACTTACCAGTGGCTGTTTTCTCGAAAGAGCAAATACGGTTTCGGTTTTCCATATCCCAAGTGGTTTACTGGAGCAGGTCACGCTGGAGAGTTAGCCTTCCTGTTCGGGATAATACGAGACCCGGACACGGGACCCTCAGACAAAATCCTGGCGGAACAGATGATGTCTTACTGGTCCAACTTTGCAAGGACAGGGTAGGTTCTACGTTTAATAGTAAGTCATATTGTGAAAGTTAATGGTAGAAAACAGAAAATGTGTACTTACGTAAAAACGGCATAAGTACTACTGGTCAAGTACAGTGAAGCACTTAACCATAGAAAGCAGGATTAAGGTAAAACATATGACAAAAACTTCTAGTCAATGTCAAGGTTAAACAAACGAGGCAAGGACGGGGTAAATCATCTACTGACTAGATTTCGTATATCTGTATGTGTCTGAATTTAGAATTGCTCCAACAGCAGTACTTGTGTCCAAGTTAAGAATCGTCCTCGTGTTGAATTTCTTGAGCCCCGGTATTGAATTGCCAACTAAAACTGTCATCGATTTAATAATCTCTTTATATAATCATAATAAGATGAAGTGATTGATTATGCTTACGTGCTTTTCAGGAACCCCAATACAGGGTTAGCAGTGAAGGTCCAGTGGCCAGAATATAATGTCCAAGATGGCCGATATATCAGTCTGAACGCGACAATAAGTTCCGAGGAGGGACTATACAAAGACATAATCGACTTTTGGGTATCCGTGTTGCCGAAAGCGTAAAAGCACGTCACCTCCATTATTCTTCACGCTGCCTTTCATATTTCTTTATGAGAGTCTTATTGCGTGTTTCCATGACATCTTTTCCCGCCTCTTATTGCAAAACAATGTCTGTGCCCCCTCCCCCACTCCACTAACGAACAAACACCAACTGTTAACCTTCCTTTCTATATTATGCTTCTTCCTCCCAACCACAGATACAGATGTGACCTCTCCCCTAACCAACCATTTACACGCGCCAATTTCTACCCTCCTTGCTATAGCTATAACCCACACACCTTTTCTCTATTGTCTACTATTCTGTTATATGTTCACTGCAAAGCATATCCGAAACAATACAGAAACCAGAATCGATTGTAATTTTATATAACTACTTCACCAGATTTAACGATTATCATCCACTTGCCCTTTTATCAATAAAACAATTAATTGTAACAACAGTCTTTCGACTTGTTTGTTGAGCGAACATTTGATAATACATATTACATATATAAATGCATGGCAAATTAGATATTTGTCAGTTTTTATTACCGTGCGTACGGGTTTGTTAATTCGTGCGCACTGTTTGGTAACTCGTGCGCACGGTTTGCTAATCCGTGCGCACGGTTTGGTTACTCGAGCGCACGTATTAGCAAATGTTTTACCATGTCCCTTCGGGGGCTCCGTAGAAACGCGTGGTTAAGCATGGATTAACATAGCCACACACTATTCTATATTAGAAACAAGTGTTACGCATTAATCAACCATATTCCAGATCGGAATCACATGGTTATGCATTTAGTGAAATCTTAGCTCAATATTTCAGATCATAAACACGTGGTAACGTATTAATTAACATACATGTAGTTACTCAATATTCTACACATCAGAAACACGTGTTACGCATTAAAAGTCACATACATACCAACTATTCTACATCAGAAACACGTGTACTCATTAAAGGTCACATAGTTACTAAATACTCTACATCAGAAACACGTGTTACGCATTAAAAGTCACATAGTTACTAAATATCCTACATCAGAAACACGTGTTACGCAATATTCAAGTTAATAATTATGCATTAAATAGCATTGCAACACAATATTCTGCACATCAGACGCACGTGTTACGCATTAATATACATCATAACTAAGTATTCCACATCAAAAACACATGGTTACGCATTTAGTCACATAGTTACTCAATATTCTACATCAGACGCACGTGTTACGCATTAATATACATCATAACTAAGTATTCCACATCAATAACACGTGGTTACGCATTTAGTCACATAGTTCCTCAATTTTCTACATCAGACGCACGTGTTACGCATTAATATACACCATAACTAAGTATTCCACATCAAAAACACGTGGTTACGCATTTAGTCACGTAGTTACTCAACATTCTACATCAGACGCACGTGTTACGCATAAATATACATCATACCTAAGTATTCCACATCAAAAACACGTGGTTACGCATTTAGTCACGTAGTTACTCAACATTCTACATCAGACGCACGTGTTACGCATAAATTAAAATAGCAACTCAATATTCCACATCGTTAACACGTGGTAACGTATTGATTACATGTCTAGCACAGTTACTCAATACTCTTCCTCAGGTACACGTGGGTAAATTGGGAAACGTGAATAATATGTTGCTAACTTTGCGCATGCACACATATCGCTAACAACCGGGCTATCTTCCCTGTAGTCGCCCTCATTTCGCAGACAACGATACACAGCTAATTGCTGATCTCCGGCATAACTGGGGTAGGTAATTTGTCACAGTATGCACAGTATTATAGTTTTCATATTTTGATTTGTTTCTTTTCTTAGCATATTTACTCGGAAGATAAGATAGACTTGGCATCATTTACGAAGATGAAAATGATTACATCACGATGTTATAAATTTAGCCACATTACCCATACAGTAAAATCTAAACAGCGGTTAAAGATGAATATAAGATAACTAAAGATAAATATAGATATCGTCACAACCACTTGTATTTATGCTTGTGTATGTTTTCGACTTAATGCTAGATTAACTTGTATACGTTTTATGACTTATTGTTATGTTACGCTTTAATGATTATATTTGTAAAATGCTGAACAGTTTTGTTTTATTTCTATTTCGTGTAGTTATTTATAGTTAAGCAAATGACGCGTATTATTTTTATCATCAGCGTGAAGGATGACGACAGAAATTGTCAATTAAGGTTAATGTCAAAACATCAGCATGAAAAGATAATGACACAACATGCACATCAATGTTAATGACATAACATGAGTGTATAAATTTGAAATAAAAACATGTGTATCAAGGGTTATGGCATGAAATGAGCATAAAAAGCTAAGACAGAACATTGAGCATAAAGGTTTATGACATAATATGAGCATAAAAAGCTAATAACAGAACATGCGCATCAAAGTTTATGACATAAAAAGAGCACAAAATTATATAATTTCAACATGTGTATCAAGGGTTATGACATAACATTGGCATAAAAAACATGTGCATTAAAGCTTATTATATTACATGAGAATGAAAACCTATATCAAAACATGCCTATCAAGGTAAATTACATAACATGAGCATACAAACCTTATGCCAGGACACAAGCCTCGACGTTATAATGTCAGACCGTGAGCACGAACATTTCAAACAATATAAGTTTCAACATGTAATGGCATAATTGTAACATGACTGTTAATGGTATACTACCCTCGTGTGACGTCACAGTCTGGATTGGAGGATACGAACACTTGTTTATGTGGGGAAGGGTGAGTTTTGTCCTCTGTCAAAGGAGTTACATGTATAATTCATAAATGTACATTCAATGTGGAAGTAGTTCAGCTTTTAGATTTTTACCATTTTACGACGTACAGTGTAAAAAAGCTTACATCATGTTTTATAGCCCGGAACAACTTTTTCACATGATATCTAAATTAATTATATATCGTTTAAATATTAATCATGCATTTTATCATTGACTTCAATGTGTTTTTTTGGATGAAGATTTGATAAAGGAATCGATTTTCTTCTAAAATAATAGCGCCTGAGGGCCCTTTTAATCTAGATACCCTGGTTTGGAACGTAGTCAGGTGTTTTATGGACGTTTCTTGCACTTTAAATATTGTTTGATAATTTTAAGAATAAAACGAAACAAGATGCGTCACATGGGGGTTGGACCTACCTTAATTGTGACGACCATTTACAGTTGACTAGTTTGCCGATATCTATATCAACACTACATTCCTATAGGACCTGCATACAGGAGCACTCTTAACGGCGACGTCAATGTTATTCGTTCCAAAAGATCAAATATAAATATGCTTCATAGATTTTCCCGATTGAAAACTGCATAATAACCAGTAATATACCTTCTGTACAGAAATGCCGATGTTCACTCAAACGATTTGTCCTTTTTGGAGCTTTATTTTCAATTATTGAAGTAAAAGAAAAAATCTCATATAAGGGATTCATCTTTCTGAATATATACTATAAAAGTTTGTGTATACATGTTTAATTGGTTGTCAAACATGACCTTTAATCAAATATTAACGTAAATGATTAAGTCCACTTATCGACAATAACAATGGGTTATACAAACTAAAGCTGATAGTACGAGGGTAAGGTCAGGCACGATAGCATCATCACAAGATAGTAAGTGCTTACGTGTCCCTGAATTCGACACCACTGATAAACTCAGAGTATTGCTCACAGTTGTTTGTCGACGTCTATATTTCAGTCAGAGACTACAATTGAAGTCCGAAGTCTTTGGTTACGATACGCAGTGAACTACACGTCGTCAGTGTTATATAGCAGTGCAGTGGGATCAGACATATTTTAATATCACTACCTTCCCAAAGTTTTAATTTGTTAGGGGACCAAACACTAGTATTTAATATAAACAAATAGCCGTAACTCTGTACTGTATATAGTAGGGTACGAGACATTCCGTTATCCAAATTAGTACTCGAACAAAACATTTGGCAAAGATGGAAGAGATTTGACCGGGACAAAGTGCCACACAGGCAGACTTACGCATGTAGTAGGTGTAGACCTACACCGTATCAAGAATAAAATCGAAATTCTCAAAAGGTCCGAATTTTCCCCAAAACACGAATGTTGTCAAACTAACAATGAATTGAAGGATCAATTATGATGCTACCAAAACTAGGGATCATATGCTACAATATACATGTAAAAACCCTTGCTATGGTGAGGTATCGGATATTTACAGATAAATCAACAACCAGAAGCCATCTCAAACAAAGATGTTTTACAGACAAAAAATGTGTTCATCTTAGAATAAAAATATCTTACAACTTTTGTATAACAAACATATTTTGATTACAGATGGACTAGGTTTTGAACATATTCAAAGAGGGGATCAAATGACTATATGGTCTAAACTTCATAATTCATGGCTAGATGCATGTTGATAGTCTAATCATTGTGACTGAAAACTGTCAGAAAAGAACAAAACATATTTGATGAACAGAGATGTCTGGAAAAGATTTGTTGGTTTATTCCTTTTCAATATGGCCACCAAAACATGCAGTCTAGTGCCCAATCAGTTATCAGAATCCCAGACAATTTTCTTGCAATATCAATGGAATTCAGAAATGGTGTGTTTGTTCGTTACTTTGTTTTTTTTTACCTAAATTTTAAAGTCAGACGTCCTATTAACAGCTGATGACATTTACAGATAATGTTTTGTAAGATGCAGGAGTATGAAACGTTTTCTAAAGAGAGACTTGAAAAAAATTAGGAAGAGAAAAATAATTCGAATCTTTGAGCTTGTTTTCAAACTGGTGATTCTAGATTCACACGAATATAACTTATTTCAAGATTTGTCGGAACTTTTTAGCCCTTGTTCTGGATTTTGAAGATTGCTATGATAGCAAATATAATAAAGTATACTTCATGCATGAACACAAATCTCCATAGATCTTTGACCAACTTGGCATATGCAGTAGTAATTTTTATTGGGTTATTGTCATTTTGTTTCATGCTGTATTGAATCAAAACAGTATATTTAGTCTGGCTCTTGTGCCTGACAACGGATGAGGCATTGAGAGTGCTGATACACCCATATTTCCTAATCTCCACCATCACCAAGATGTTCACTGATATAGCCTGGAGCTAATGATAACTGGTAGGTGCTGCACGTTATAGTCTTCAAATACTCCAAATTGAGCCTTTGAAAAGGTACTGTCTTTTCTGTCAGTTTCCGGTGATGTTTGATAAACTGGTCTCCATATTTAGCACTTTCTCAATAATATCCATAAAACAATTTGATATTAGTTGAGTTTAAAAAATGTCAAATGCTTAATACGGTCATGATAATAATCTACAGTCCATCGGGCTTTAGTGACTGTCCTGTCAATTTTAGCCTGTTTATCAGAGTGTTGCCACTGACCAGGCTTACGATATGAGGGCAAAATGGTATTCATACCACGATCAACGACAACATTGTCGTCTTGCTCCAACTATATGAGCTTGTCTATGATGTGTTTTTTTTGTAATGCTTGCATAGATAATTACGTTTCCTCTGGCCACAGTAAGACATTCCCCGAAACTTATGGTAAGCACTCTTTTTTAAATCTAAATATATGTACCATCTAGCTTGGCAGTCATTCTGTTTTCAAAGAATGTTTCTGAGAATACAGTATTGTGTAAAATGATATGTTCGATACTCAAATTGTTAGGACCAAGAAACACTCTAACTATTGATTTGTGCAATGCTTGTACTACAGAGTGAAAGGTTTTTGAAATACTAGACAGAGAAATTCAAACAAAAACGGAACTCTGATACCACGATATATCGTTTTTCATCTTAACCCAAAACAGTGAAACAGTATTTTGTGTAGTTTTGGTATCTGCAGAAAAATAAAGAAATGGAACCAAGTACGAATGGATTTTGAGAAACTGTTCTTTGGACAAACCTGTCCAAGCTTTGCAGCCAGGTTATCTAAGAGAGAACAATTTAGAGCGGAGGCTGATTGATTCTTCGATAAGATGTACGACACTTCTTTAAGGTCATCATTTTTGTCAGACGACTTACTTAATAATTGAGGATTCAAAGGCTTTTTTCCCTTCAGGTCTTTGCCAATGATATGAACATGAGCATACACGTGATGACGGAGAAATCACAATTTGTGTGTGGAAATTAGCTAATGCCTGTCACGTTTTGGCAGAAGTGTGGGGTTGTTTCTCTTCGAATTAAAATTAATAAAGCAAAGACACATTTTTTTGGTGAACAGGACCCGTTAAGCAGGTCCATGATTGTTAAGAGGGGAAAACTCTAGTATTTTCATCTTTCAAAAGTTCTATGTCAGTGTCTCTTTTGCACAGATACCTTATATAGTACTTCGGACAAATATTACGTCTTCATTTGAGCAATGTATGCCTTTTTTAGTCAGTTTATCCAAAAGCCGTTCATATTGTGGATTATTTTACATTTCTTGTACCTTTACATTTACAAGATTTCTCGAAGATGCAATGGCAACCTCCTCAAATACATTTACTTTTCCTTATGAGATGAATATTAACAAATGAATATGATATATCCCCTAAAAGCAATATAAAAACAAAACTCTGATGATAAAATGTATAAAAAATGATTGCAAAATGTATAAGAAAAAAATCTAAACAAAATGACAAGGCTATTACATTTGATCTCAAATTGATTGTTAACAAAGTCTTTACCAATCATGCAAAGTGATGAAGCGAACCTGAATTCGGAAATGTTTGTTACCTAACTTGCACTGAAAGGTTCATTGTAGGCTTACAACCAATCTCATTACCAATTACCTGTACTCATCTGCATTGCTTTCTGGTGGACGCCAGGGAGGTGTCTTAAGCCCTCACCTTTTTGTGTTTACATGGTACTCTGTTGTGCGAAATAAATACTTTTCACCACTTTTTTTGGACTGAATTTTCGCATACATATCTGAAATAACACCACTTCATATTTTGAAAAATGTTGGTATGCAAGGACAATAAGAAGGAAAAATCCTCTATTTTACATCAATCTTTTCACAAAATATTCGATTATTCTTACAATCTGGCTGATGAATATATTATTTCAACATCACATGAAAGAAAGTGTTCTTTCCCAAATATAATTATGCAAAAACTCCAGATGAATAAGGGATTGAAAAAAGTTACTACAGCAGAATACATCTTGTAGCATTTCTGAAACGAAAGGTGTGAGGATGCATAGTCCCGTCGGTCAAATATAAAACGGTTACTCTGTTGTATCTCGCGAAGTAAAATGTATATAACAAGGAAAATCGATAGTTTAGACTTCGATGATTGTCAAAAGTATGTTCCACAGTCACGATACGTTTCTTTGATCTGTCCTGGGTAACAATGTCTTAATTCAAATATTATTCAAATTAATTTAGAACCTCAAGATTTTCCCTTTTTCTTTTTCAGAATAAGATCAAACCTCACGATGACCGGCGCTACGTGGCTGTTACAGCTAACATGTATACTTACAATTGCTTCAACACTAACGGAGAGTATGGAGACGAAAACCATACAGACTCCCTCGGGGAAGATGATGGGTCTAAAGGTCGATATAACAACATTGAATAGCTTCGTATACCAGTTCCGCCGGATTCCGTATGCCAAACCCCCTGTTGGGGATCTCCGATTCGCCAAGCCGCAACCAATGGCGCCATGGACAGACACTCTCAACGCCACATACTTCGGACCAAACTGTATGCAGACTATCATTAATCCGGACGATCCCTTACTACCCAATAAAATATTATCTGAGGACTGTTTGGTGCTGAATGTGTACGTGCCACCTAATACGACTGAGAGTAGCAAGAAACCTGTGATGCTCTACATCCATGGCGGGAGCTATGTGGAAGGCACTGGAATGTTTTATGACGGTTCCTATCTTTCTATTCACGGCGATCAGCTAGTGGTTACCATCAACTACCGACTCGGTATCTGGGGCTTCCTTACGACGGGGGACTCCAACTGTCCCGGAAACTTCGGACTGTGGGACCAACGACTCGCTATGCAGTGGGCCAAGGCCAACATTCAGGCATTTGGTGGCGATCCCAACCTTATAACTATCTTTGGGGAATCTGCAGGCGGATTTAGTGTTGCTATTCATTCTATATCTCCTATCAACAAGGGCTTGTTCAAGAGGGCCATGTCTCATAGTGGCACAGCTAATTCGTTTTTTGCCGTCGCGCAAAGTAAATTAGCAAAATACTCACAAATTGGAATGGGCCTTTTTGTTAAATGTTTTGATGTAGAAAACAGTGCCAAGTTTTTACAATGCATGCGAACAAAAAGCTCCCAGGAGTTGCTCGAGGTCTCTGTCAATGTTGCTAATATAACATTTAGTGACAAACACCATCTGCACTTCGCACTGCCCCTGGCACCTGTTGTAGATGGTGAATTCATCACAGAAAATCCTGCAAAAATCTTAAACGACCCTTTAAGTCCAGGGATGCAGTTTTTCCGATCGCTTGATTACGTAGACGGTGATGTGAATTCAGAAGGATCTCTCCTTTTTCAGGAGCCGCTTTATTCCTTTCAAAAACCAAATCATTTTAATATATCGGAGGGAATCCCTTACAGGATATTGTGTGATGACGTCATCGAAACCATAGTGAAGGAGTTCTTCAATAACAATCGCACCCTTAGGTATGTTGCTTGTTCCAGATACAAGTCCGCGAGTGGGGATGGTGTCGACCAGAGTCGACTTGCTGTTAACTTGTATACCGACATCTTCTTCTTCACACCCGGCGTATTGACGCTGAACGCACATGTTGGTGGCATTGGACGTACTTACCAGTGGCTGTTATCTCGAAAGAGCAAGTACGGTTTCGGTTTTCCATATCCCAAATGGTTTACTGGAGCAGGTCACGCTGGGGAGGTAGCCTTCCTGTTCGGGATAATACGATACCCAGACATCGGTTCCTTAGACAAAAACCTGGCGGAACAGATGATGTCTTACTGGTCCAACTTTGCAAGGACAGGGTAAGTTCTACATGTGACGATAAATAACATTTTCAACTTTCATGGTCGAAAACAGATATTGAGTATAGTACTGAAGTTCATATCAAAAACGAAAGTATTACTGGTCCAGTATAGGGCAGCACTTAACCATAGAAAACAGGATCAGAGTTAAACACATGGCAAAACTATTTATGGTCAAAGTAAACAAAAAAAAGGGACGGGTAAATCATCTATTGATTGGATTTCGTATATCATCCATTAGTTTAGGATTGTGATATAACCACAGCCCTTGTGTCTGAATTTAGAATTGTCTCCAACAGCAGTACTTATGTCAAAGTTAAGAATCGTCATCCCTTGGAAGTCCTGGAGCCCGAGTATTGAATTTCCACTTAAAACTGTCATCGTTCTGAATTGATCTTGTTTGATATAATAACATGTTTTAATAAACATTGTAAAGATGAAGTGATTGATTATGCTTACATGCTTTTTCAGAAACCCCAACACAGGGCTAGCAGTGAAGGTCCAGTGGCCAGAATACAATGTCCAAGATGGCCGTTATATAAGTCTGAACACAACGATAAGTACTGAAGAGAGACTATACAAAGACAGAGTGGACTTTTGGGCATCCGTGTTGCCGAAGGCGTAATATCACCACATCTCAATTATTCTCCACCCTGTCTATTATGTTCCTTTATAATTGTCTAATTGTGTCTTTCCAGTACACCTATTCCTGCCTGATATTGCAAAACAATAGCTGTACGTCCTTCTCCGCTCCAACCACGAATTAACACTAATTATCAACATTGCGCTCTATATTATGCCCCCTCTTCCACCTAACCACAAACACGCCAATTCTGACCCTCCGTGCTATTGTTGTGCTCACCACACCCATTATCGGCTGTCCGTGCAATTGTTGTGCTCACCACACCCATTATCCGCTGTCCGTGCTATTGTTGTGCTCACCACACCCAGTATCGGCTGTCCGTGCTATGTACCCACGAGGCCTATCCTCTCTTGTTTGCTATACGTTCATATATAGGTGCTACAAAACTTATCCGGAACAACAAGGAAAACAGAATTAATTGTTATATGATATAACTACTTCACAAGAAATAACGCTTATTTTCAACACACCATTTTACTAATAAAACTTTTACTTATTACAACAGTCTTTCGGGTTGTTTATTGAAAGAATATTATCAGATAACACATTTTATATAAAACTGCATTGTATATGACAAAACTGTTTGTGTGCATTCAGCGAAGCTCTGAGAGTCTGGCTGTAGTCGTTTTGTATTGAGTAGACATCTGACACTCGGACTGTAGTAGTTGTGTATTGAGTAGACCTCTAACAGTCCGACTGTAGTAGTTGTGTATTGAGTAGACCTCTGACAGTCCGACTGTAGTAGTTGTGTATTGAGTAGACCTCTGTCAGTCCGACTGTAGTAGTTGTGTATTGAGTAGACCTCTGACAGTCCGACTGAAGTAGTTGTGTATTCAGTAGCCCCTGGACAATCAGACTGGAGTAGTTGTGTATTGGCGAGACCTCTAACAGTCGGACTGTAGTAGTTGTGTATTGAGTAGACCTCTGACAGTAGGACTGTAGTAGTTGTTTATTGAGTAGACCTCTGACAGTCGGACTGTAGTAGTTGTTTATTCAGTAGACATCTGAAAGTCGTACTATTGTAGTTGTGTATTGAGTAGACCTCTGACAGTCGGACTGTAGTAGTTGTGTATTCAGTAGCCCTTGGACAGTCGGACAGTAGTAGTTGTGTATTGGCCAGACCTCTAACAGTCGGACTGTAGTAGTTGTGTATTGAGTAGACCTCTGACAGTCCGACTGTAGTAGTTGTGTATTGAGTAGACCTCTGACAGTCCGACTGTAGTAGTTGTGTATTGAGTAGACCTCTGACAGTCCGACTGTAGTAGTTGTGTATTGAGTAGACCTCTGACAGTCCGACTGTAGTAGTTGTGTATTGAGTATACCTCTGAAAGTCCGACTGTAGTAGTTGTGTATTAAGTAGACCTCTGACAGTCCGACTGTAGTAGTTGTGTATTAAGTTGACCTCTGACAGTCCGACTGCAGTATTTGTGTATTGAGTAGACCTCTGACAGTCCGACTGTAGTAGTTGTGTATTAAGTTGACCTCTGACAGTCCGACTGCAGTATTTGTGTATTGGGTAGACCTCTGACAGTCCGACTGTAGTAGTTGTGTATTGAGTAGACCTTTGACAGTCCGACTGTAGTAGTTGTGTATTGAGTAGACCTCTGACAGTCCGACAGTAGTAGTTGTTATTAAGTAGACCTCTGACAGTCCGACTGTAGTAATTGTGTATTGAGTAGACCTCTGACAGTCCGACTGTAGTAGTTGTGTATTGAGTAGACCTCTGACAGTCCGACTGTAGTAGTTGTGTATTGAGTAGACCTCTGACAGTACGACTATAGTAGTTGTGTATTGATTAGAACTCTGACAGTCCGACTGTAGTAGTTGTGTATTGAGTAGACCTCTGACAGTCTGACTGTAGTAGTTGTGTATTGAGTAGACCTCGGACAGTCCGACTGTAGTAGTTGTGTATTGTGTAGACCTCTGACAGTACGACTATAGTAGTTGTGTATTGAGTAGACCTTTGACAGTCCGACTGTAGTAGTTGTGTAATGAGTAGACCTCTGACAGTCGGACTGTAGTAGTTGTGTATTGTGAGTAGACCTCTGACAGTCCGACTGTAGTAGTTGTGTATTGAGTAGACCTCTGACAGTCGGACTGTAGAAGTTGTGTATTGAGTAGACCTCTAACAGTCCGACTGTAGTAGTTGTGTATTGAGTAGACCTCTGACAGTCCGACTGTAGTAGTTGTGTATTGAGTAGACCTCTGACAGTCCGACTGTAGTAGTTGTGTATTGAGTAGACCTCTGACAGTCCGACAGTAGTAGTTATGTATTGAGTAGACCTCTGACAGTTCGACTGTAGTAGTTGTGTATTGAGTAGACCTCTAACAGACCGACTGTAGTAGTTGTGTATTGAGTAGACATCTGACAGTCCGACTTTGGTAGTTGTGTATTGAGTAGACCTCTGACAGTCCGACTGTAGTAGTTGTGTATAGAGTAGACCTCTGACAGTAGGACTTTAGTAGTTGTGTATTGAGGAAACCTCTGACAATCCGACTGTCGTAGTTGTGTATTGAGTACACCTCTGACAGTCCGACTGTGGTAGTTGTGTATTGACTAGACCTCTGACAGTCCGATTGTAGTAGTTGTGTATTAAGTAGCCCTCTGACAGTCCGACTCTGTAGTAGTTGTGTATAGAGTAGACCTCTGACAGTCGGACTGTAGTAGTTGTGTAATGAGTAGACCTCTGACAATCCGACTGTAGTAGTTGGGTATTAAGTAGACCTCTGACAGTAGGACTTTAGTAGTTGTGTATTGGGTAGACCTCTAACAGACCGACTGTAGGAGTTGTGTATTGAGTAGGCCTCGGACAGTCCGACTGTAGTAGTTGGGTATTAAGTAGACCTCTGAAAGTCCGACTGTAGACCTCTGACAGTTCGACTGTAGTATTTGTGTATTGAGTAGACCTTAGACCTCTGACAGTCCGCCTGTAGTAGTTGTGTATCGAGTAGACCTCTGACAGTCCTACTGTAGTAGTTGTGTAATGAGTAGACCTCTGACAGTAGGACTGTAGTAGTTGTGTAATGAGTAGACCTCTGACAATCAGACTGTAGTAGTTGGGTATTGAGTAGACCTCTGCCAGTCTGACTGTAGTAGTTGTGTAGTAGTAGTTGTGTATTAAGTAGACCTCTGACAGTGAGACTGTAGTAGTTGTGTAGTAAGTAGACCTCTGACGGGTCCGACTGTACTAGTTGTGTATTGAGTAGACCTTTGACAGTCCGACTGTAGAAGTTGTGTATTGAGTAGGCCTCGGACAGTCCGACTGTAGTAGCTGTGTATTGAGTAGACCTATGACAGTCCGACTGTAGAAGTTGTGTATTGAGTAGGCCTCGGACAGTCCGACTGTAGTAGCTGTGTATTGAGTAGACCTCTAACAGACCGACTGGAGTAGTTGTGTATTGAGGAAACCTCTGACAATCCGACTATAGTAGTTGTGTATTGAGCGGCCTGTAGTAGTTGTGTATAGAGTAGACCTCTGACAGTACGACTGTAGTAGTTGTGTATCGAGTAGACCTCTGACAGTTCGACTGTAGTATTTGTGTATTGAGTAGACCTCTAACAGTCCGACTGTAGTAGTTGTGTATTGAGTAGACCTCTGACATTAAGATTAGAAATATTTCTATTCCTGTAGATCTTCAACTGAAATTATTTGATGCACTTGTGTCACCTATTTTATTATATGGATGTGAAATCTGGGGTTATGAAAATACAAAATGTACCAAAAAAATACATTTACAGTTTTGTAAGGAAATTCTTAACATTCGGAAGAGCACCCCAAATTATATGGTACGGTAACGGGTGGATCGAAATTATCAAGTGTAATGTATAAGTTAATGTATAATTTGCACCAGAATTCTTTATTAAGTTTTAAATGGTTAACGTAAATACGAGATATTTTAAACAATACTGGATTTAATAATTTATGGACTTTCCAAATATCATGTACAATTAATAGACAATGCTTGAAAATTATCATTAAGCAGAGATTATGCGATCAATTCATTCTTTGGTTTCATGATGTTGAAACCTCCTCGCGAGGGCAAGTTTACGCCTTATTCAAATTTCTGTTTAATATTGAACCATATCTTCAAAGCTAAATCGTAATGATCGAAAAGTAATATGTAAATTTAGAACATCAAATATAAAATTTCCTATAGAAACAGGAAGATGGAACAGAGTCCCAAGCGAGGAAAGGTTATGTCCCCTATGTAATAACTGTGTTGGGGACGAATACCACTACTTCTACCAATGTACTAATGTATCTGTTGTAGCTCTTAGACAACTTTATATACCAAATTATTATTATGTCAACCCAACTTATATCAAAATGAAAGGAATGTTCTCAATTTGTAACACGGTACTCTTAACAAAAGTAAGTAAATTTATACAAAGAGTAATGAAGCTACTTAATATCTAAAATAATTTAGCTAAAAGAATTATTGAAATGGGTTGTTATTGTATGAATTGTATCATGTGTCATATTAT